AGCTGGAAGGGAGTGCACTAGGGCCCTCTCTGCAGGGCCAGGCCCCGCCTGCCACAGCGCACTGGGCACCACAGCTGGCACAGCAGGGCTGCCGGCTCCCAGCCAAGCTGGGACCAGGCCCTGGTCCATCCCCCTCCATCCCTGAGGGCCGGGCTCCGCACTGGGGCTGGTGGTGAGCCAGGCCATCTCTTGTGCCACAGAGTCAGCGTGAACGACATCGAGAAGGAGCTGTCCGACCTGAGGGAGAGCCAGGAGCAGGGCAAGGTCAACATGGAGCACTCGGTCTCTGAGGCCTCCCTTTACCTGCAGAACCAGGTGAGGAGGCCACGCTCTCAGCACAGGGACCAAGGCCCTTCTCAGAATTGGCTGACCCCTCCATCCCTCCTCCGTGTGTGTGTGTGTGTGTGTGTGTGTGTGTGTGTGTGGCCGTGCCTCGCTCACTGCCTTGCGCCTGCCTTCTCGCCCGCACCCAGTTGGACAAGCTCAGGACGATCATCGAGAACATGCTGGCCTCGTCGTCCACGCTGCTGACCATGAGCATGACCCCGCGGAAGGCCCCAATCACCTTGATCCCTGGCCAGATTGACCCCAAGGCCACCTGCCCGGCCTGCAGCCTGGACCTGAGCCACCAGGTCAGCACGCTGGTGCAGCGCTACGAGCAGCTCCAGCATGTGGTCACCAGCCTAGCGGCCTCGCGGCCGTCCAAGAAAGCCAAGCTCCAGCGACAGGTGAGCCGCGGCTCCCTGGGCAGCCGCACGCGGCCCGGGCAGATGCACCGCGCAGGGAGTGGCGGAGAGTCCCTCGGCTTAGTTTTCCATGATGGAGCCCCCAAAAGTCCCGGGCCTCCCACAGGGTACCAGCGAGTAGTGCTGGGGAGGCGGGGCCCTGGGCTGGGAGGGCACAGCTGGCTGTGGGTGGAGCAGGGCCCCCCCAAGCCGTGGGGGCACCGGCACAGCTTCAGGAAGCACCCACTCTCCCTCCCAGGCCCCTTCCCACTTCCCTCCGGAGGGCAGGCTTGCTGGCCGGTGGGGACAGGCACAAGGCCCTGCCTCCTGCCTCTTGGATCCTGGGCTTCTGGTCAGCCCCGGGCAGGTGGGGAGGCTGTAGCCCACATGCTGACTCTCAGGGCCGCAGGGCAGCTCACCCCTCTGAGCCTTGGTCAGCTCTACTGATCACCCCACTGGCCAACCAGGCCCCCAAGGAGGCAGGGCTGAGGCTCTGTCGGGGCGGGGGGTGGGGAGGGGGCACAGAGAAAGCATGGGAGCCTCCGGCTGTCGGAGGGACATTGTGGAGACAACCAACCGGTTGGAGGTTGGCCAATCCGCTGGGTGATGTTGTTTTTTGTTTGTTTTTAATATATTTGTATTGATTTCAGAGAGGAAAGGAAAGGGAGAGAGAAATAGAAACATCAGTGATGAGAGAGAATCATTGATTGGCTGCCTCCTGCACGCCCCCCACTGGGGATCAGGCCCGCAACCTGGCATGTGCCCTGACTGGCAATCGAACCCTGACCTCCTAGTTCATAGGTCAATGATCAACCACTGAGCCACACCTGCCGGGCTGGGTGATGCTTTAAGGGTCAGCTTCTCGGGGCAGCAGGACGGGCCTGGGGAGCCCCAGCCGCCTCCGTGAGCAGGTCCCTCCCGCCGCAGGACGAGGAGCTGCTGGGCCACGTGCAGAGCGCCATCCTGCAGGTGCAGGGCGACTGCGAGAAGCTCAACCTCATCACCGGCAACCTCATCGAGGACCATCGGCAGAAGCAGAAGGACATCGACGTGCGCGCTGCAGGGGGCGGGGGGGGCAGCGTGCGGCGTGACCCCAGCCACCCTGCCCTTCAGTCCCTCGCTCCTCATTCTCCCTTCCTTGGCCTCCCAGGTGTTGTACCAGGGTCTGGAGAAGCTGGAGAAGGAAAAGGTCAACAGGGGGCACCTGGAGATGGAGATTGACGTGGTAAGGGCCGGGCTGAGGGGCCCTCCTGCCCGGGAGGCCGGAGGTGGAAGGGAGCCGGGAGGGGGGGATTTAGGCTCAGCGTCAGGCTGACGGCTCAGGGGGCCCTCCACGGCCCTCTCCCATCGGGCGGCCTCCTCCTCTCTCCGGGCAGAAGGCCGACAAGAGTGCCCTGGAGGCCAAAGTGAGCCGCATGCAGTTTGATGCCACCACGGAGCAGCTGAACCACATGATGCAGGAGCTGGTGGCCAAGATGAGCGGGCAGGAGCGGGACTGGCAGAAGATGCTGGACCGGCTCCTGACCGAGATGGACAGCAAGGTGAGGGCAGCGAGGCTCCAGGGCCCCTGGACTAGGGCAAGGCCACCTTCTCCTGCCCG